GGTAGGAGAAGCCACCCCCTGGCAGGAGAAGACACCCCTGTCAGGAGAGGACACCCCTGGCAGAAGAAGACACCCCTGGCAGGACACCGGCTCTGGAGCCGTTGGGTTTTGCAGCCAGGATAAAGAAGAGTTTGGGGCAGGTACATGGGGCAAAAGAAACCGGCTTCAGGAGAACAGACTCACTGCAGGGAGTCTCTGGAGCTGTCCTGACACAGCCCTGAATGGCCCTGTGTGGGTCTGAGCACAAGCCCAGCCGTGGGAGTCATGGGATCAACTCCTCACTTCACTGTCTCATCGACCCGGGATGGTCTCCACCGGTCGGGAGGGAGGAACCACCCCAGGAGCAGCAGCTCCTGCAGGAACCTGAACACCCTGCCGTGGGGGGAGGCAGCTGCAGCACGGCAGGGATGGGTGGTGGGACAGGAGGAAGCTGGAACCCCAGTTCCCCATGTGAACTGGTCCCAGGGATGCCTCCATGGCAGCGCTGTGGTGGAGCAGCATGGGACAGCCTGGCTGTGAGAACAGCCTTGGACCAGGCTGCCAAATTCCAGATGTCTTCAGGACTGAGCACACCTCAGCACGGCTTGAGGACACTGTCCAGACAGGCTTGAGGAGCAGGCTCTGGTGAAACACATCAAGTTCAACAAGGCCAAGTGCAAGGTCATGCACGTGGGTTGGGGCAACCCCAGTATCAGCACAGGCTGGAGGATAAATGGCTGAGAGCAGCCCTGCAGAGGAGGACTTGGAGATACTGCAGGATGAAAGGCTGGACATGAGCCAGCAACACGTGCTCACAGGCCAGAAAGCCAGTGGGGTCCTGGGCTGCAGCAAAACCAGGATGGGCAGCAGGTCAAGGGAGGGGACCCTCTACCAGCAGCAGAGCCAGGGAGCTGCTGGAGCCCCGAGGGGGGAACCCCTCTGCTGGGAGCCCAGCAGGAGAGAGTTGGGCTGGGGCAGCAGCAGAGAAGGATCCAGGGAGACCTGGTGGCTCTCCAGGATTTCAGTGGGGCTTTATAAGAAAAATTGGGATTTCTAACCAGGGCCTGTTGGGACAGGACAATGAGAAATGGTTTTAAATTCACCAAGGACAAGTTTAGAT